AGTGAGCAAGTTGTGTATAAATTGCTTAGGTTTTTTATTTAAAAAATGGCAACTGGAGGGAGACAAAAGCCATGGTAGTTGAAACCTCCATGTTGTAGGTGTAATGAGACACTAATATGTCATGGGTTGTCCACATCCCAACCTGAAAGATCTAATACAAGAGATGTTGATGGCCTATTGTCTGGGATTGGATACCAAATGAGTGAAAGCAAAGAGGTTTAAAGGCAGTGATGACAGGATTCCACATTGGAAGCAAATCAACTGAAAACACCAGAGGATGAAGAAACTACTTTGTAGGAAAGGTTCAGTGCCAGGCAAGATAGTTGACCTGCCACTAAGGCCTGATATTTTGACACACGATAGACTGACAAGTTATCCAGGAAAATGGAAGTTCCAAGAGAAGGAAGAAAACAGTGGTGTCTGAATGGATCACTATTAAAACACTAGACAGATTAAGATGATGGAAAGCCTACAAGCAGCCACCAGCTCAAAGATATAGAGAGAGGAACCTCAACCATGGAGACAAGATGTCAGAAATGGATCAGGCATCCAGAACTGCACCCCACCAAAACAGAGGCAGTGGAAAGGTGTGGTTGTAGGACTGTTTCACATCAAGCATAAAGCCAACACAAAGTGCCATCTGTGCTACATTCACCCTGAATATGAAAAACCATATATGTAAGCAGAAGGGGCCACAGACTGGAGGGCTCAAAACAGATGCAAGTTGAGGTAAGGTGGGGGAAAATGGTCATGTGGGATCAAATGACCCACCATGACCTCAAGAGGTGAAAAAGAGAGAGTATTCTTGGAGAAACCACTGAAGGGGACTCGATTGGGCACATCTAAGAGAAATGAGGGACTCAAGAGAAGAGTCCCCAAAAAAGACTCGTGCAGAAAATAAAGGAAACATTGGAGCTCTGGTATCAAAAGCTCCAAGTCACAAACACAAAAAAGTAGACTAAGCTTGCCCCATATATAAAGTGAGAGAGCCCACTAAGTAAATTAAATACTGGGTAGGAGTTGATAATGAAATGGAGAGCTGAACCAGCCACTCTAAACAAGATGACTACTGCAGAAGGAAAGAGGTCACAGCAAATGAAGTAGCACTGGAAGAAGCAAGTAGAGCTCAAAATTCCATAAAGTAGTGGAAAAAATAAGCATCAAGAATATAATTTCCAATTAAACTCCACAGGATCAAATGAAAAGATGGGGCCATAGCCAACTAACACAGAAGACTGAGAACCAAATCTTCAACCATTGCAGTCAAACTGAAGGAAGCAAAAGTTGAACAGACAAATGGGGATGAGGAGAACGTGTCCGAAACCCTGCAATGGGTAGTCTATCACAAGTCTGAGAGCAAGTGTTTCAAAACAATACCAAACTTATTAATCCAATTCTGTCAAGCTGTGCATGCTCATCTTTACCTTCAGTTTTTAATATTTCTTGTCCCCAGTATCTTATGTTTCTTGAAAAACACAGGGTCCCAACATTTAAGAATCTGTTTTAGTGAGACTTTTGAAAAGGCAAATATTCAGCATGCTATAAAGTGCTGTGAGCAACAAAGGCAGTCACCTTCTAGAGGTGTCTGGGGACATGCTCTCCCATAAAAAATTTTATGCAATAAAGCAAAATGGCACAATCTGATGCATTTGATGGATCAATGTGATGCTGAATTTGACCTGAATCCAGCCTGTCAACCAACTAAAATTCATTATAGAAAGGTGCTAATTTGATCAAAACATAATATTCTTTTACTAATGTAAGCATGAGAGTAGACCCAGATGCATGAATCTCACAACAAGTGAGTATTCAATTATGCATTTTAAAACATAACTAAAATATAATAGTAAGACCTAAATACAATTTAAACTGTATCTCTAAATATAACATATTTAAGTAAGAAACAACCATAAGTGCTATTGTTGATCAAGCAGCCAACAATACCAGTCAGATACATGTAGACTGTGACGACAACTGAGCACCAATTTCAAAATAACCATTGTTAGA